GGCAGTTAAACTGGTGTCAAACCACTTACAGTGCAGATGTTAACATCAATGATGCTTTTTAAAGTTGTAACCAAGACATAGACAAAATCCCATTGAATATCATGAAATTAGTCTAACCATAAGTGTGAAATTAACCACTGTTTTCTTGTGAGGGCAGGAGCAAAAAAATAAAAAGTTGTGTATTTAATATAAAAACATTTATTAATGGATTTGAGGTTAAGATCATATAAGATAGATAATATACTCTGAGCTATAATCTTTGCATGGAAAATCACAATATTTGTGTAATTCAAAATAATTTCGTTTTGGAAACATGCACAGATTTTTGTGCATTTTAAAAAAAAAATATTGGGATGCAAAGTGCAAATACTGGATGAAAACTATGCAAAAGTCTAGTCTCTGTATTATTCTTCCTGACTAGTGAAGCAAAATTAATGCAGTTTGACAGTGCTTTAACTGTCATAGCTCCATCCTATGGAATCCTGGGATTTGTATTTTGTAGTGACGTTGGAGCTCTGAGAGAGAAGGCTGAATATTTCACAAAACTACAAACCTCAGAATTCCATAGTATTGAGCCAAAGCAGTTAAAGCAGTGTCAAATTAATTCTGCAGTGCTGATGCAGTCTAGGACTCCTGAGTGTTGAAAAACATGTTTTTCATTCAGAAAACAAATGAATGTCAATGCTAGTATCCTCATGTGATTACATGACACCATGCAGCCAAGAATTCCAGGATGTTATTAGACAGTAAATCATTGTACAAAAAAATCCTACACACCTGAAAACATTTTGATGGTCAATTATATTTAAAACCCCACAGGTATTAGCAGTGGAACAAGGCTCTTTATATGAAGGGTTCCAGTCTGACTGTGAACCATCAAGGGCACATGGGACTATGCAATGTTGCACAGTCTAATAGGAAATTACTGTTGGGTGGATGGATGTGAAGATAATCCATTAAACCACTATAAGAATAATGGGAATGAGGCCTTTTTAAAGGCTGCTTAAGGAGGAAAGATCTTTCTGTCACTTACAGAATTAGTAATATAAACATACACTGGCACTTGCCTATACCCAAAGATATCTGCATTTCTCGGAAATAAATATACTCCTAATATATCATTTTGCACAGCTTTAACTGATTCTAGCTAGGAGGGAGAGTACATCTTTGTTTCTGTTTCAGGCATCAAAATATGGACTGACAAGGCTTATTCATTTACCTTTGCCTTCCTCTGAGACTGAGAGAATGTGACTTGCTCAAGGTCACTTAGGGCCTTTGCAGACTGCCAGAAATAGTGCAAATTGAGTCCACTTTAAGGGTTAGGGTTAGTGCTAGGGAGTCATGGGAATTTTTTTTTTTGAAACATTGAGCCTTCTCTGTCAGAGAGCTCTGGTGCCACAATAAAATACAGTTCCCACGATTCCCTAACCCTAACCTTTAAAGTGGACTCAATTTGCACTATTTCTGGCAGTCTGCAAAGGCTCTTCATGGGTTTCCTTGGCTGAGCCGGGATTCCAACCATGGTCTCTACAGTAGTAGTCCAGTTGCTACATCACATGGCTCATATATACATACATACACATGCATTTTTGTGTGTACACACATATATATTTTTATATATTCTTTTTGAAATGAGCATGTTCTGTTCTAGCATTGGTCTAGCTCCCTATAGAAAAATATTGCTTTAAATGGAAACAATGATAGAATACTTTAAAAAAAATCTGAATCATAATTCCATTAATCCTAGTATATTACAGTAAGAATAGCTGTAGAGAGTCAGTCAAGGCCAGAAAAAGAGGGTAAAGGCTCTAAATCCAGATAGTCTTGGAAGTTATGTTCTCTCATTAATCAAGCATACACTATGAAATTCCAGTAAGATAGACAATCCTATTTGATTTATTTCTTTCAAATAAGAGGCTGTGTTATTTATAAGCCCTCACTGTATATTTCTGTGGTTAGTTCAAACAGGTCAAGGACCATGGCACTTGAGTAGAATTTCTATTGAATGGATGTTTTCTAATGAAAAAACTAATATGACAAATAAATTGATATCTGGCTGAACTAGATGGATCAGAAAGTGGAAAAAAATACAGACATTTCCTGTGTAATGATTGAGAACCTGCCAGTCATTGCACTAATCTGGCATTTTCTCACAAACAAAAAATAAATATTATACACCCAAACACATACACCTACACATATATAAAGCACATCTTTATGTAATATACTGTTTTGCTATATAAAATATATAAGAATATGTAGATATCTACATCTATACTTACCATAGATATATAGAATCACAGAGTTGGAAGGGACTGCAAGGACTATAAACCCCAACTCCCTGCCACGTAAGAAATTTACACAACTAAAGCACTCCCCAAAATGGCCATCCAAATTATGTTCAAAGCTCTCCAAAGAAGGAGAATCTACTATTTTCATGTTCTAGTCTCCAGAACCACAAAAAATAAACTTGTTTCATCTGCATAACATACTTTTGGATGGCTATCATGTCACCTCTCAGCCTTTCTTTCTTTAAGCTAAAGAAATTCTTAAGCCATTCCTTATAGGACTTGATTTCCAGAATGCTGATCATCCTGGCTGCCCTCCTCAGAGAACATTTCATTTTGTCAATATCCTTTTTGAACTGTGGTGCCCAGCACTGAACACAGTATTCCAGCTGAGGTCTGACCAAAGCAGAATAGAGTTACACTACTATTTCCTTTAATCTGAATGATATGGGGTGACCCAGCCCAATCGCTCCAAGGCTGTGGCAAATACACACAGTGGCCTTGAGGGTGCCTCCTGCCATGGTCCCAAATGGACCAAACAATGGAGTGGAAAAGGTTTACATCTTTTGAGTCAGTTTTGGACCACCTAAGGCATAATCATCTAAATGCCACACCCCTGGAGCGTCTGGAAGCCATCCCCATCTGCCCATCTGCTTTGGGACTATATTGTACTCTTGTTGATGCAGCCTGGAAGTGCAACTTTTTACTTTTTTTATTTTATTTTATTTTATTTTATTATTTTATTTTGCTGTGATACCACATTGTTAAAGAAGAAAGAAAGGAGTTAGGTATTCACCAAATCTAAAAAGTATCACAATCTGTATGAATATTACCCAAAGTATTTATATACTGCTTAAAATTCTGAAACCAAATCAAACAGTATTGGAGTTGTAATGTCCATAAAATACATAAAATGAGAACTCAGGTCCCATGTTCTCTGAGAAAACAATAATCAGTCTCTAATATCACCAAAAGCCTTGGATGATATAGCCTGTGTTGAGAGATTAAGCAAGGAATGAATTCCTTGAATGTTCTGAGATTCCAATCCAGTATAGTTTTCAACCAGATGCATTTCAACCAATGGTCTTCCTCAGTGGCTGCAGTATTTATATAAGTATGACTAACATATCTTTCAATATGTGGCAGGATCAGAGTACAAGGAAATCACCAACTTCTCTCCTGTATTTCACAGTCTGATCAGAGTACAAGGAATGATCAGATTGTGAAATACAGGAGAGAAGTTGGTGATTTTTAGTAGTATCATGTCCAAGACAGAACTCTGTAGCACATAACTTATTTTTTCCCCCTTTTTTAGTGTAAAGGGGAACCAGTGGTGAGCCTTCAAACCACTATACCATGCTGGCTCTTGAGGTACCACCTATAAATGTATCTAACAGTAGCATCGTCTAGTGCATATTTTATCATCTTGTTCCAAATAAAGCCAATGGATTGACTTACAAATGGTAAATCAACCTATATATAAATCCCATTAATTCAATGAGTCAACTATTGATGGGAATACTAGTTAGATTTAGGCCAATAGTTTTAATGATCAGGTAAATGGGCATAGGTGAACAACTCTGCATTATTGAAATATTTATGTCTGTAAACCACATAATATCCAACAGATCACAGAAGAATATGGCCCCATCTTTGCAGAGACTAAATTTGTGCATTTCAGCAGATTATACATATATATCAAATGCTAAATTCTGAAATATGACATAAATGAGAAGCACACACTGAAGTATGTATCTGAATGCACATCATTCTCAGTGAAGACCACACTGTATTTTCTTGGAATGGAATGTGCCTTCAAATAGGCTATTCCCATCCATATTTTTGGACAGCTTGAATGGTCACAACTTACTAAAATAGCACAACTCTCTGCAAATACACTGTCCAATCTTGTTCCACTTGTGGTAGACATTTTTTGTGAACTACCTTCTTTCCAAGAAAGATAATGAAAGCATTTTGTTTCAGAAATCTGTTGGGGAGGCTGCTGTTTCCTCCCCCTTTGTTATATTTTGTATTAGTGCTACTGCTTTGATCACTTTTGCCGCTTTTCACTTTGCTTTGTTTTTATAGTCTTTGTTTTACTGATCTTAATGTTTTAACTGTACTCTAAGGATTTCGTAAGAAACCATTCTGTGGATCTGTTTGGGCCATAAAATACATACCAACCCCAATAATATGAAATGGCTTCCAGGCTGGTAATGTAGTAAACACAGCTTGTCCAACTGTTATCTTTCTCCACCACTTACTGGAATGCATTAACAATTCTACCATTCCCATTTCAAAGTGAAATTACTGGACAAACCATGTCCTCCCCACACACATTTTAAAATATGCTCTCAGCCTGGTCATTATTTTATACTGAGTAGAAGGCAGCATGAGTATTTTCAAAGGGTTCTTTCAATCCTTTCAAAGGTTGTAGTGGGGTCACTGAAATCCAGATTAAAAATTGATTAATTTTAATGGTCCATGACAATAATAAACAACAAAGATCTTGTCAGAAATTACGCTGTATTGGCAAGGCAAATGGCTTTTAACCTTAACATCCTTCTCTCATTAGTATTTCTAAAATCTAAGGACTTGTAAAAGAAGGGTACCTGAGAGGAAGAGGCATCTTGAATATTAGGTTCTATGAAGGTGTGTCTGGTTTCTTTGGATTATAAATTTAGTTTTTTTCTGACCCATAAGATTATGAGAGCCAGTATGGTGTAGTGTTTTGAGCATTAGACTATGACTCTGGAGGCCAGGGTTCAAATTCCTGCTCATCCATGAAAACCCACTGGATGACCTTGGTCAAGTCACACTCTCTCAGCCTCAGAAAAAGGCAAAGGCAAACCCCCTCTGAACAAGTCTTGCCAAGAAAATCCTGTGACAGCTTTGCCTTAGGGTTACCATAAATCAGAAACACCTTGGTACACAACTGTAAAGGCATACAAATTAAGAAAAGAAATGTGAAATGATTAAGATCAGTGATCTTAAGTAACTGATTTCTAACACTGATCACACAAAAGAATTAGAAAAGGCCTTTACTCTATCATTTTATTCCCATTCAAATTATATTCAGATTCTGAGGGGGGTACATAGCTCCTTCAAATGTGTTCTCATCTTTAACTTTGCTGTTCCTTGTCATATCACTTTTAGTCAGAACTATACCATTTTCAAATTCATTCCATATTAATGCACTTCATAGGCAAGTACAATAATTCTTTCTTCAGACTTAATTTTCAAACATTCACACACTGGCTCTGATTCATACTGGCTCTAAGCACATGTACATGGATTCTAGGGAAGCTGAGGGAGAGAATGGAATCCATAGTAAAACTGACAGTAAAATGATAAGAACAAACAAGTTTTCAGATGTCAATACAGTGTTTGGGAAATAAACAAGGTATGCTTGACATCCTAGTGAGGAAAGTAAATAGGGATTTATAGGCATAACAGAGACCTGGCGGGATGATTCCCATTATTGGAATATTACAAAAGAAGGGAATAACCTATTCAAAAAAGAACAGATGTGGCAGAAAAGGAAGGGGAATAGCATTATATGTCACATTCACTTATACATAAATCTATGAGGTGGATTACAGTAGACTAGCTGATAAGATACGGGGGGGGGGGGAGATAAATGGAGAAAGAAAGAAATGCAACAGTGTGGTAGAAGTCAACTACATGCCACCAAGAGGTGCTGGATGATGCTTTTCAAAAAGAAATCTTAAAGATGCAAGAAATATTAATTATGAAGAACTTCTATTACCTTGATTATCTGCTTGGAGGTTAACTCTGCTAAGCATAGGCTCCACAAAAAAAATCCTGATATTCCTTGCAGATAACTTCTTATTTCAAAAGGTAGAGGAAAGAACAAGGGGGTTGTTCTGGGTGCCTCTTAAGAAGGATACAGATAAGTTGGAGTGGCCTCTGAGAAAAGCAACAAAGATGATAAGAGGAATGTTGAACAAAACTTAAGATGAATGTTTGAGGCAGTTGGGCATGTTCAGCCTGGTGAAGAGAAGACATGATTGCACTCTTTATATATCTAAGGAGCATGACAGAGAGGACCAGGTCTAATGGTTTTAAGTTATAGGAGAGTATATTTTGATTGAACATTAGAAGAAGCTTCTTGATGGTAAGAGTGGTTAAAAATGGAACCAATTACCTAGAGAGGTGGTGGGGTCTCTTTCTCTGAAGGCAAGACAGCTATCTGCTGGGGATACTTTAACTGGATTTCCTGCACTGAGCAGGGAATAAGAATCAAAGGCCCTTCCATCTTTGTGATTTAGCTGTAGTGCTGTATAATTATTTCAGGTAAAAAAGTGGCTTCAGAAGCTCTAAAATTAAATATATATTTAAAATATATTTTAAAAACTATTTTAAAAAAATAGTTTACTGCTCATAACCTTTAGACAGAGGTATTGTATACACTCGACTATAAGTCAACCTCATGTATAAGTCTAGGGTAGGATTTGGGGCCAAAATTATGGATTTTGATATGACCCCTGGATGAGTAGAGGTTAAAACTTAGAGTCATGTAATAAAGGATATAAAGGATGAAGCAAAGGAAAACAAAATTGCAAAAGGCATGACATTTTGTGCTCACCCTAAAGGCTAGCTGGGTAAGGCAAGAACTATAGAAATCATGGCTGTGTGATGTGTGATGGATGTGAACAGGTACAGGAAGGGTTAAGAAAACACACATATCAAAAAGGATGTAAAGGCAAAGCCAAGAAAATGGTGACTACATTATCAGTGATTATAGTGTTTAACTTTAATATGATAACTTTGGGGGGATGCAGATTGGCGGCCATGGGCCACCCTGGGAAGTGTCGGATTGGGGCCGAGGCTGCCCCACACCTCAGCCCCAATCCTCTCTTTCGCCACCTGGGAAAGCTCTTATGCACCTCTTCTGGCTCAGTGTGTCCGGACGCTGAGCTGAAAGGACGTCATCGGAGCACCCACTGATGATGTCCTTGTGAAGGGGTTGGGGCACCCAGCGTGAGGCTGCCCCTCCCCTTCCTTGCCTCCAAGACGCCGTCTGCAAAGGGGGGTTGTTAATTTTTTCTGGGTTGAAATTGGGCAAATCCTTATTCAAATCCTTCTTATTCAAATCCTTCAAAGCCCAATTCCTCTCAGTGAGGGGGAAAGCACCAAAGAGCTGCCATTGCTGCCATCTTCCCACCCACACATTCAAAAAAGTCAGAAACGGAGCTGTGGTGGAGAGAGTAAGAGGTGTTGGTGCTTCTGTTAGGTGCTCCTCAGATGGATTAAGGGCCTCTACAGACGGCCCATTTTGGGCAGCTCTGGCCCACCCCTGCTAGCAGCAGATCGGGGCCATGGCAACCCCACACCATGGCCCCAATCCTCCTTTTGCTGCCACCAAAAGAGCCAGCACCACACCTCTTCCACACCCTTTCGGTGCAGCATGTATACACACTGTGCCAGGAGGGCATCCTGGCAAACCATGCAAACGGGTGCATGGTATCAGGACAGCATCAGGATGGAATTGGAGCAGCTGGTGTGCACCCCCAGGCTGGCCCTTTGGGCCGGTTTTCAAAGGCCCTATGTTTTCACCTTTCACCACTGTACTCAGAGAGGGGGATGGTTCTTTGTTTGAAAAGAGTTAAGGGTGAACTATGGAGAAACTGACCCAGATTGAGGGGAGGGTTTACTAAAATTTCTAGATTTATACATGAGTACAGTAAGTCAACACTTATATAAATTCCATAAGCAACTAGAGATGATTTGTAGTGTTTCAACACAGCTGAAGATTTCAGTACAATAAATGAAAAGGTAAAACATCAACTATTGGTACTAGAGCTCATCACAATCCATGATATACATGCCTGCAAAATGACTAAACAATATCAGTTTTCCTTTCTGTAGCCGCCTTTATTGTATACACAAGCTGTGCTATTAAGGTCTTCTATAAATAAAAGACTGGATCCCAGAGGTTCTATTGGAGGAACAGAGGGAGTTTCAATTCAAGAAAGAAAGCTTCTGTGAGCCGGAAGCATTTTCTGAACAAAATTCTTCTTTCATGATTGTTAACTCTTTGTATACATGAAACAAATTCTTTGGGTCTTAAAATGGCAAGGTCTGCCTACCTGTAAATCAGCATCAAATTCATGTTTCAAGTGAGCCTCTTCTGCAGCTTCAACAAGGCGCTAAAAAAAGGAAAAGAAATAAAGTATTACTCTTAAGAATTCCGCATCCCACCCACACACAAAACCCATATTGATAAACCAAAATGATGCAATCTATTCTGTTGTGGATGCTAAGTTCCAATAAACCTAACTTCTTCTTTCATAATATATATTTGTTCTATAATGGAAATGAAGCATTTAAGATTCATATTGCCTCTTTATCACAGTCTCAGTGTTCTCAGTGCAATGACATCCCATCATTTCACTTATTTGCAATTACTTTTGTATTGCTAGGAATACTTAAAAGCATCATCATTTTAAATGTAAAAATACACATTTTATGAATTTAAACTGTTAATGGTAAGTTAATACTTAAATCTGTCAGCTCTAAGAGAAATTAGAAGGTACACAGATTCTGAACAAAAATATTTGTTTTTGGACAACAGGATATCTATATTTACTGCTAGGTCCAAAAACTAGAGATGTAGGAAGCTTGGGCTCAACAATTATTCCAGCTGTATTCATCATCCCAAATAGGCAGCAGATATAAAGCCTAGAAAAAGTTACTAATTCTGGACTCCAATTCCCAGAGTGTCCCAGCTAGCATATGGATTCTCGGAATTATAGTCCAAAATAATTTTTCCAAGCTTTGAGCAGATGTCCAGTCATCCAGGCCATAGTATTTCCAATTTTCAAAGCTAGCTAGTGAATAAATGTGGAAGAATATCAACCCATTTGAAGTGTGGTGCTGGCAATGAATTCTATGGATACCATGGATTGCTAAAAAGACAAATGCATGGGTCTTAGAGCAAATCAACTCTGAACTCTCACTAGAAACAAAGATAAAACAAAAGCCAAAAGCCACAAAATACATTTTGTGCAATACATTTACCGTATTTATTTTGAACAATGCATTTATTGGCCAACCAAAATGCATCATGCAAGCTTTCAAAGTTCCACTGGCTTCTTCAGCCCTGTCTGCATGGGCAAAACAAAACAAAACAAAACAAAACAAAATGGAAAAAAAATCCTCCCACCCTGACACAGGTCCTGCCTGATCTCATGACACACTGCAACTTCCAGTAAAATATTGTGGTTCTTGCCTGTTAACATGACTTTCCCCCAAAACAGGCAAAGTCAAAGGGAACCCTGATCTTTCCCTGAAATCCTGGGGGGGGGGGGGAGATTGTGGCATGAAAACTGCTGGATCAGGCCCAAATCAAGTTGGCTGGACAGTCATCACACTATTCCCCTTCCTCACACTGAGTAGAACAGAGGAAAAGTGGCTGCATAAAAATGGCATAAAAGTGGCATAAAAATCACCTGTCTACAAATCTTGTTTAGGATTCCTCTGTTGCAGCTAAATCTTTTTCTTTCTTTTTCTCCTCGAAACATCTTTTGCCTGATGAAGAAGCCTGTTGAGCTTCAAAAGCTTGTATGATGCATTTTGTGCATTCTGGTTAGCCTATAAATGTACTGCTCTTTTATGGATTTTGGATATTTGTGTTTGTTTGTTTGTTTGTTTTGCTGAATGGCTACCCCTAACTAAACTGAAGCTGTTGTATTTTAGACATATCACAAGGTGACATCAGTCATTGTAAAAGACCATAATGCTTGCCAAAGTGGAAGGCA